TTCCAGCTAGATTTTTTCTCTGAGGGTTCGGTTCCTCTGCAGATAGAATCATAGAAGGGACCCCGAGGGTCATCTAGTCCAACCCCCTGCAATCAATGAATCTCAACTAAAGCATCCATGACAGATAGCCATCCAACCTCTGCTTAAAAACCTCCAAGGAAGAAGAGCCACCCGAGGGAGACTATTCCACTGTCACGCGGCTCTTACTGTCAGAAAGTTCTTCCTTACGATTTGCTGGAATCTCCTTTCTTCTAAACTGAAGCCATTGGTTCGGGTCCTACCCTCCGGAGCAGGAGAAAACAAGCTTGCTCCATCTTCCATATCAAATTTTCTCTCTGTCTCCTCTTTTCCAGGCTAAACATACTCAGCTCCTTCAACCGTTCCTCATCAGGCTTGGTTTCCAGACCCTTGATCATCTTTCGTCACCCTACTCTGCACACGTTCCAGCTTGTCAACATCCTTCTTAAATTGTGGCACCCAGAATTGGACATAGTACTCTTTCCTGGTTTGGTCTGACCAAGGCAGAATAGAGTTACTATTACTTCCATGGATATTATAGTTCTGCTGATGCAGCCTAGAATAGCTTGAGCTTCTTTCTTTCTTTCTTTCTTTCTTTCTTTCTTTCTTTCTTTCTTTCTTTTTACTGCTTCATCACACTGTGGACTCGTATTAAGTAGTGGCCCACTAAGACCCCGAGATCCTTTTCATATCTACTACTGGCACCCTTGAGATTACCTGGAGAAAGGGTGGGGTGCTACTTTTAATAACTAGATAAATAAATTAGCAGAAGGCAATGCATGCATTTCTCAGATAAATGGTAAAGGTAAAGGACCCCTGACAGTTAAGTCCAATCGCCAACGACTCTGCGGTTGCAGCACTCATCTCGCTTTACTGGCTGAGGGAGCCGACGTTTGTCCGCAGACACTTTTTCCAGGTCATGTGGCCAGCATGACTAAGCCGCTTATGGTGAAACCAGAGCAGCGCACGGAAACGCCGTTTACCTTCCCGCCAGAGCGGTACCTATTTATCTACTTGCACTTGACGTGCCTTCAAACTGCTAGGTTGGCAGGAGCAGGGACCGAGCAACAGGAGCTCACCCCGTCGCGGGGATTCGAACTGCCGACCTTCTGATCACAAGCCCAAGGCTCAGTGGTTTACACCACAGCGCCACCCGCGTCCCCTCGGATAAATACAATTGAATAAAATCAATGCGCTAATTCCCTTCAAACTACTTTTTTAGACTGAAACACAAAGGCACTTATTGCTTATGGAGCAGCTTAGAGAAGCCCCTACAAAGCTTGCTATTTATTTTGCAAGCTTTTTAGTTGGTCCTAATAAAGGCATGTCATTTTTTATTTTTTATTTTTTTAATGCTATTGGACCAATGCAGGTACAAACATTTGATAAATAATTAACTTTAAAGCTTTGCTTTTCTGGTGCTCTTTCTAGCAAAATCATGAATTATCTCCCTGATGTTAATTTCTCTTGCAGGTACACACTTGATGGAAAAATATCCTTGCCCCATAGAGCTATGCAGACCTCATTGTATGTCAGTTGCAGGATTTATTTATGTATAAATAACACCGGTGAAGATAGTTCATGCCTTTTTCCAGAAGTAGGTTTTTTCTTTCTTTCTCAGGTGCAAGATATCACGTGGGAAATTCTCTGGAAAAGCTTGTTTATGAAACAGACATCTACTCATTTATATTTGGGTTCAGCTGCATCCCTGGAACGTCTGCCCGGGTTGTTGTGATGCCCTGTCCCTCTCTTCAACCGACTCTCCTCGCTCTACACAAGGAACGCTGGAGCTAACAGTTTTGAGAGATGATGTCACATAGGAAAAGCACAAATCTGTATATCTCAAACTGCCCAGGCATATTCTCTGAGTCTTCAGCCTGGGACAAGCAATGTAAGGAACATTGCTTGTTCTGCTCTAATACTCCTGGCTGACTCCAGCAAATATAACAAGATCTGTAAAGCAGATTACCTGGAAATAAGTTTCCGTAAATATAGTCAAGCACGGTCAACAATGTAGACTCAGTTTCTTTCCTCATAGTAATATGATTGATTCCTGAGCTGGGCCCCTTGGAATCTCTGGGACCCTGTAAAATGTACCCCCACCACTACGCTTGTGTCATGGCTATTATTGTTTATTTTTATTATTTAATAAATTTGTATACCACCCTTCATCCGAAGATCTCAGGCAGTTGACCGAGGAAAGAGCCTTTTTAGGAAACAGTGTCTGTTCTCCCCACATCTAGTTCCTTCATTGTCAAGATTTAGGTTAGTTACGACCTTTTAATTCCCTGAGTCTTTAACGAACCGGGTTATGTCTAGTATTTGCTGAAAATGTATGCACAGCCTGTTTTATTTGCCATGTTGTATGCATAGCTGTCAACTTTCAGATTTGAAAATAAGGGATCAGCAGCCTCACCTTTCCCGGGGACAGTCTACGGGATATCTAACAATCTGGGATAGCAGTGGGAAACAGCGGGAAACGGCGCTGGAATAAGGGAATTTCCCGCCAAAAAGGGAAGGTTGACAGCTATGGTTGTATGTATTTATTTCATTTGTATGTATTTGTAAACCACTTAACATTTAAAATCTCTGAAAGTAAAAACCCCAATAAAACAGCACCATAAAAATATGCTGCTTTTCCCCCCAACCGACATTCATTTGATTAAAAACAAACAAACAAACAAACAAACAAACAAACAAACACCTTTGTTATATTAATACACACAATAGAGGATTAATGGAGCCCATAGGACCACTGAAGATTACTAGCTAGCAAGTATCTCACTTGTTGGGGAAATGACGGGCAAATGGTCCACAATGCATAGCAAATACACTGAAACTGTTTTAGAAGATGGGATCCGTTTTGGAAAATGGGCATGATTTTCTCATCCACCCTCCACATGGCGGAGACCAGATGGAAAGGAGGGCAGGTAGTGTAGAACTTGTGCCCAGCTGCACCAGATGAAACTCAATTTTTTACACAATAAAAATGAAATAATAATAATAATAATAATAATAATAATAATAATAATTTGTTATTTCTCCCCGCCCATCTGGCTGGGTTTCCCCAGCCACTCTGGGCAGCTTTCAACAGAACATTAAAAAACAGAATAAAACTTCAAACATTAAAAACGTCCCTAAACAGGGCTGCCTTCAGATGTCTTCTAGAAGTCGGATAGTTGTTTATTTCCTTGACATCTGATGGGAGGGCGTTCCACAGGGTGGGCGCCACCACCAAGAAGGCCCTCTGCCCAGTTAAAAGCACAGGGGGCCAGCCCTCTTTTTCACCTGGCCACCCTAACACCTCTTCCTTGCAGGGATGTGGAGAACCAGCTGTTTGCAAAAGGAACAAGAGGCTGCAGCTTTGATAGAGACTGAGAAAAGACACAGAGATTTGGGTCCTGTAAACATCTTTGGGTGCTGGTTGATCTGATAAGAGATCAGACATTGGAGAAGTTACATGATCTGCTCAACCTGTTTTTAAGTAAACACAAGCATTACAAAATGCCAGTAAGTCTCCAATTTCCTCCTTCTGAAGGAACATAGGGAACAGTCTTATTTTATTTATGTATTTATATTCTGACTTTTTCCCTGACCAGACTCTGATTGTTTGTTTAATTTGTATATTGCCCTTCATTCAAAGATCACAGGGTGGTTCACAACTCAGGGTGGATTACAGATAAAAAGAAGAACTGCTAAACACATGGGGAGGATCATTTATTAAAAAAATTAAACAGTGACAGAATTAAAACTATATCCATAGATAAAATCTATTAAAAACAAACAGATAGCTATAATTAAAGCAGCCATTTCCTTAAAAGCAGACAGTTCCCCAAAGCCTGTTGGAACAAGGCCTTCAGGAAGAAGTCTCAGTCTTCTACTGAGTCTATCTAGATCAGTTTTGCCCTCACCACTGTGGTTCCCAAACTATCCCTCTCCCCCCATCATGGACCACATGAAAACGGCTGAAGTCTTGGAGAGCCACTAAATGATTTTTCTGCCTGTTGCAGCCATTGCAATGCCCTGTGCTAGATGCTGTATGGTTTTTAATTGTATTCTTACAGACATGCCACGGAACAACTGAATGAAGCTTTTGGACCCCAGTTTGGAAAGCCCTGGCCTACACGGATTGGTAGTGGCTCTCCAGGATTTCAGCCAGCAAGTCTCTCCCACCCTACTTGAAGATGCTGCGGATTGGACCAAGGATCTTCTGCGTGCCAGACAAATGCTCTATTCAATGAGCAACAGACCTTCTAAGCCAGTCATGGTCCAGCACTGCCCCCCTGAAGCTTATCACCACTCAGAGAGATGAGGCTCATGTTAACACCACATGTACTTACATACACAGATACATGTAAGTATGGGACCAGGAAGAAGCTCTACTCAGGGCTAGGAAATTGTGCTGTTATCACTGTGTCTTGCTTTGTGGGGGCATGCTTAATGCTTCAGGCACCATATTATGAAAGCCCTGATGACCAGTGAACTGCCAGCACTTAAGAAGCACTGGACACGGGTTTTGCAGGTGCCTGCAAACCCCCTTTGGCCCAGCAGTGTCTACCTCAGCCGAAACTGGGAGGTCTGGCAGGCTTAATTAGCCCCCTAGGCCGGAGGTTGCCCACCCCTGTGGTATCATAAAAGGGTTTGTCTCCATCTGCACAAATAGACACAATATAGTTAAAGATAGCAGAGCCCTATTTTTAAAAGCAAGCTGTTCTTCCTAGGCAACATCGTTTTGCAGTGATGGAGTTTCCAGTCTGAGCAAGCCTTTGTCCAGCCTTCCCATGCTGTTCCTTTCTCTGTCTCTAGCAAAGCACTTGTCTCTGGCCACGATGAACGGGGAAATCCACAGCAGGATGGATGTCAATATTCCGCTGAATGAGCAGGAATACACTGGAACTGTCTCACTTCAATGAAACAACAGTTGCAGGCAATTCTCTGCATTTATTTTTTGCCATTTGCGCACAAATGGAAGGAAGGTTTGTCCTTCAGAATTCTCTCTCTCTCTCTCTCTCTCTCTCTCTCTCACACACACACACACAGAGAGAGAGAGAGAGAGAGAGAGAGAGAGAGGCTTCTATTAGTTTCTCAAAATGTGCAGAAGGAAATAAGAAAAAAAAGGGAAAGGAGATAAATGAATCCAGACTACATTATAAGGAGATAAATCATTCCATACGGTTGCCAACTTATCAGAGTTGGGGGAGAGCAACTCTGTATGGTCTGCTCCTTGGACTTAACAATGTGTTTATGCATTTAAAATTTATTCATTTAAAATTTAAAATAAATAATGTCCACACTTCTGTGGAGGTTTACAAAATCAAAACAAACCCCGCACTTAAAAAGTGACATATTAAAACAATAAATGCACATTGAGGATGCAATCTTATGCTCACATACCTGATACAGTAAGTCCCATTGAACTCATTGAGTCTTACTTCCAGATAGATAGATGATAGATAGATAGATAGATAGATAGATAGATAGATGATAGATAGATAGGGTTGCCCCGTTAAAATATGTTGAAAAGTATGGGAGGGGAAAAATGCCTTTGCCTGGCACTGAAAAGAAAACAGTGTTGATGCCAGGCAGGCCTGCCTCTGACGATGGAACGCCACAAATGGGGTGCCACCACTGAGAAGGCTGTGGGAAGAGCAGGTTGGCCTAGGGAATAGCCTCTGGATCTGCGAAAGCCAGCAGACTGCCTGATGCTTGGGACTAGCACAGAGAGGGTGCTATTCTCATCATCCCCATCCTTCTTGTGGTCATAGAATCACAGTTGGAAGGGACCACAAGGGTCATTTGTCCAAGCCCTTGCAATGCAGGAATCTTTTGCCCACCGTGGGGCTTGAACCCATAACCCTGAGAGTAAGAGTCTCATGCTCGACCAACTGAGCTATCCAAACATGCCTGGCAGGCTCCAGGTTTCTGGGGGCTCTTGGCCTCTCCCCTCCTTTCCCTCCCCTCCTTAACCCTCTTGGCCCCACTCCTAAAACCAGCAATATGGCAGGTGGGGAACTTTTGGCCTGCCAGATATTTGCTGAACTAAAACTCCCATCAGCCCCAGCAAGTAGGACAAGGACCAAGGATTGTGGGAGTTGTAGTTCAGCAACATTTGGGAGGCAAGAAGGTTCCCCACACCTGCAATATGGCATCCCCAGTTTCCTGCAGTTGCTACCAGTAGTAATTACTGGAACCATGCCTAACAATGCAGCAATAATCCTGCTCCATGAAACTTATAAAGGAGGCAGTGAGAGATTTTACTTTCTTGGGCTCCATGATCACTGCAGATGGTGACAGCAGTCACGAAATTAAAAGACGCCTGCTTCTTGGGAGAAAAGCAATGACAAACCTAGACAGCATCTTAAAAAGTAGAGACATCACCTTGCCAGCAAAGGCCCGTATAGTTAAAGCTATGGTTTTCCCAGTAGTGATGTATGGAAGTGAGAGCTGGACGCTAAAGAAGGCTGGTCGCTGAAGAATAGATGCTTTTGAATTACGGTGCTGGAGGAGACTCTTGAGAGTCCCATGGACTGCAAGAAGATCAAACCTATCCATTCTGAAGGAAATCAGCCCTGAGTGCTCACTGGAAGGACAGATCGTGAAGCTGAGGCTCCAATACTTTGGCCACCTCATGAGAAGAGAAGACTCCCTGGAAAAGACCCTGATGTTGGGAAAGATGGAGGGCACAAGGAGAAGGGGATGACAGAGGACGAGATGGTTGGACAGTGTTCTCGAAGCTACGAACATGAGTTTGGCTAAACTGCGGGAGGCAGTGGAAGACAGGAGTGCCTGGCGTGCTCTGGTCCATGGGGTCACGAAGAGTCGGACACGACTAAATGATTAAACAACAACAAATGAAACTTATTCCTAATATTGGACAACTTGCATTTTTTAAAAACTGGCTCTGCTCTTTCAACAGCTGCCTGACACAAGAATGTAAGTGGGGGAACTTTTTCCTGCAGGAAGATGAATCGTGGGAGAAGCTTCACCAGCTACCTGTTTATATCAAGCTGCAATAAAATGAAAGGATCATGATCAGTGCAGGGGGTGGAAGTCTGGAGTGGTGGAGATCAGATAACCGTCCCTCAGTGTATTTATTTCACAAGCTAGGTTAAATCATTTATGGTGCAAAACAGCCTTTATGAAGATACAGGATGACAAATGCATCTATGCTCACGTTTCTCCCTGCAAAAGTGAGGGTTGTCTTTTAGCACATTGCATATGAAGTCCAGACAGACAGTCTGCGAGTCCAATTTATACATTGTCTGATGCTGCTTTTGTGTAAGCAGTGGGACCCCTCACGATAAGAGTTGAGAACAGAAATCGAAACGCAGGTCACACAGCTGACCACAGACCTTTCTTGCAGCCCAGTGTGACAAGAGACGTCGTCAACATATAACACTTTCCACACAGAAAAAGGAATGCACTGGTGTCATCTGTGTTAATGCATGCAGTGTACCAAAGCCCTGGCCATGTTATTCCTGCAGGGGTGGACTGGATGACCCTCAGAGCCCCTTTCAACTTGACAATTCTATGCTTCTATGTTACTGCCAATTAGTGTTCTGCATTAGAGACAATCCCTCCAACATATGCAGTAGGAGCAACAAAACAAGCAGTGTGGGGCTCAGGGGTGTAGGATGGCGAGGGCAGGAGGCGGGGGGGCAGTCCACCCCAGGTTCCATCGTGGAGGGGGGTGACAAATTATCAAGGAACAATTACTGCCCTACTAGGGCAGTTCATAAAAAACTTTTTTTTAGAAAATGCCTGCTCCAAAGGTCTTACCTTACTACACTAGGGATTATATAGCTGTATATGAAATTTCATGCATATCAGTTAATATCTTGACCCTCCTCTTTACTTGGCCGTTTTCCTGTCACGAAGGCTGAAATTTCAATTCAGTGGAGCACTTATTGCTCCCAACCCTAACCCTGCCGAAAGCCATCTAATTAGACGTCAGTTTGGTTTTGACATGTTGTTAATAATAATAATAATAATAATAATAATAATAATAATAATATATTTATTGTCATTGCCCCCTTCGGGGACAACGAAATTACTTGACTGCTCCATAAAAACACTAATTAATCAATACAGTATAATACAGCAAGGGAGATTAGATGACTTTCAAAGTCCGGGCTTCCCATTCAGGGCCGAGATCGCTCTGGAGAAGAAGCTGTTCTTAAGACGGCTCGTTCTTGTCTTCATCGTCCTGTATCTCCGTCCCGACAGCAAGAGCTCGAAGAGACAGTGACCAGGATGCGATGGATCTTTTACTATGTCCAGTGCCTTCCTATGGCACCTTGTGGCATAAATCTGCTCTAAGGTGGAGAGTGGGCAGCCAACAATGCTCTCTGCTGCCTTAACAACCCTGCACAACCCCATCCTGTCCTGGGTAGTACACACATAAGCCATAAGTGAGCACGCTCTCAATGGCACAGTGATAGAAGGCAAGCAGCAGTTTCTGCGGAAGATGGTTTTTCCTTAGTATTCTCAAAAAGTACAGTCTCTGCTGCGCCTTCTTCACAAGCCCCTTGTGTTGACACTCCAGGACAGATCCTCTTGTAATTCAATGCCCAAAAATCTGAACGTTGTTACCCTCTCCACACAGACCCCATCAATCAAAAGTGGCTGGACGTTGCTCTTCTGTCTCCTGAAGTCCACCACAAGCTCCTTTGTCTTCCTTGTATTTATGAGCAAGTTGTTAGCTCTGCACCACTCTGTCAGCCGCTCCACCTCATCTCTATAATCCGTTTCACCCTCCCTTTCAGGGCTGAGCCCAATCACGGTTGTGTCATCTGCAAATTTGACAACCCTATTACTAGGGTGAATAGCGACACAATCGTACGTGTAGAGAATATAGAGGAGCGGACTGAGTACGCATCCCTGTGGTGTTCCTGTGTTAGTCTTGAGCATATTGGAGGTATAAGGGCCCAACCGAACCCTCTGGGGGCGGTCTGACAAAAAGTCCAATATCCACCCACAAAGTGATAACGGAAGCCCCAGATCTTCCAGTTTAGACATCAGACGTTGTGGTAGAATGGTATTAAATGCCGAGCTGAAATCTAAAAAAAGCAGTCTGGCATAACCCCCCCGCTGCTCCAAATGTGCAAGGACGGCATGGAGGGCAATCGCCACAGCGTCCTCTGTCGATCTTTTTGTTTTATAAGCAAATTGGAATGTGTCCAGTCCCTCTGGTAGGCAGGCAATGACATAATTTCATACCAGCTTTTCAAAGCACTTCATGATTATAGGTGTGAGTGCTACTGGACGAAAATCATTCAGATCTTCCGGGTTAGATTTTTTTGCTATTGGAACGATAATAGAGGACTTTAGGCAGGATGGAACAATAGCCTGGGCTAGGGATCGATTTAAAATCCCAGTGAAAACTCCTGCTAGTTGATCTGCACAGTCTCTCAATACCCTTCCAGCTACCCCATCTGGCCCTGTGGCCTTCCTTGGGTTGATTCCCTTCAACACCTTCCTCATCTCTTCTTTTCCACAGAGACTACTGCATTCCTTTGTACTGATGATGGTAATGGTGGTGATGATGGCAAAGCCTTCACAGGGAGTGGTGGTGGTGTTGGTAAAGCCTCAGCAGGTGTTGCTGCAGATGTTACTTCAAAACGGGCAAGAAGGCATTCAAATCCTCTGCGAGGGATGCCCTCCCTCGTCTGCCAGGGAGTCCTTGGATTTATACCCTGTTAATTCTTGTACACCTTGCCACACCTGCCTGGTGTTGTTACTTTGTAGATGATTCTCCAGCCGCTGTCTATACGCCTCCTTTGCTACACGGATACCTCTCTTTAGATCGGCTCTAGCTAAGCTGTACAGCGACTTATTTCCACTTCTGAAAGCAGTATTTCTTGCCTTTAGCAACCCCTGGACCTCCCTTGTCATCCAGGGCTTCCTGTTTGGGTAGATCTTTATCCGGCGCCTCCGTGTTACATTGTCAGTGCAGAACCTAATATAGTCCAACACTTGCTCAATATGAGTCTCTACATCCTGTTGGGCGAATACTTCCCAATCGGTGTCATGAAAACAGTCTTGTAGTTGTTGGGATGCTTCAGCTGGCCATATTGTAATATCCCTCTTTATAGCTGGAATCCGTTTCCTCAATGGAATATATTCAGGAGTCAGGAGCAGGGACACATGATCAGATTGGCCTAGATGTGCCAATGGTTCGGCCTTATAGGCCTGTTTGACATTTGTATACAGCCTGTCCAGAGTCTTTTCTCCCCTGGTTGCACACTTTATGTGTTGATAGAATTTAGGTAGGACCACTTTCAAATCTGCCTGGTTGAAATCCCCGCATACAAGAAATGCAGCCTCGGGGTACTTGCCTTGTTGCCTGCTAATGGCATCATGCAGAAGACCCATTGCCTCATTGATGTTCGCATCAGGTGCAATGTATACTATAGTTATCAGTACTGCTGTAAATTCTCGGGGATATATATAGGTCTGCATTTAAGCGTCATAAATTCCACAGTTGGGGAGCAATAGCTAGCTATCACAGCGTGGTTTGTGCACCAGCTGTTATTCACGTATGCACACAAACCTCCCCCCCTTCTTTTACCAGAGTCCTCTGTTCTATCATGGCGGAACACTGTATAGCCTGTTAGCTCTATGGCTGAGTCAGGAATAATTGGTGTCAGCCAAGTTTCTGTAAGCAGCAGAAGACAGCATTCACTCACAGTTTTCTCCGTTGCTATCCACAATTTCCACTCCTCCAGCTTATTCACCAAAGATCTCACATTCGCATAGAAAATGCTGGGAAGCGGTAAGTTATAATGTTGTGTCTTCAACCTTAATTGCCTTAATCGCCTTCCTCCTCTACAGCCTCTCTTCTGTTTACGGTCTCTCCTGTGTCTCTTTACTCCCCAGTTCTTTGAAGTCAAAAAATCTTCCTTGCAGA